AAGGGGGCGGTGGGGGGGGGAGGTGTTGGTATTTGGATTCGGGAGGAGAGAGAGGGTGGAGTGGTTATGGGAGGTTCCCATGACACCCACATCTTTTCATACTTCTTTCTTTTTAAAAGTTCTATAGGCCCTATACGCTTTGATTCGGTCAATAAGAAATAAACCACCTTTTTTTTTAAAGCCCATATCTCTATCTCTATCTATTTAATAATACATTTATTTGTAGATCTAGTTGTAGAAAGAACGCCGTATTATTGCAATTTAGTAATTTAGATATAGTACGCCACGGCGCCCATGTAAACAAAAATAAATAAACAAGAACCAAGCCTCGCCTGTCGCGTATGAGAGAGAGAGAGAGAGAGAAAACATGCCTAGCCCATTGCTTTAGCATGAACTCCTTCACACAACTTGCCACAAAAAACATGGCGGACACCGCTGTCAAATGTGGCCATCGCGCAGCAAGGTGAGAGAGGGGCGTACTGTATCTAGTAGTACTATAGTGTACATCTATGGGACACACCCCATAGCACAGCCGTGGCTAAAATACCATGGGGAAGCATTCCAAAGAAAGACCTGTACATAATATATGGACTCCATTATCAAGTACATGTGTAATAGTACTCTATATAAATAATGATAATATGCCGCAGGACAGCAGTTCAGGTTAAGTGGGCTCCATTTTTATTGGAACTGCTGTGGTCTCTGGCCAAATGTTGTAACTGGCTTTGTTGGATTCAAGTAAATTGTTTACTTCAACGGTTCATAAGTCGCTACCTTAAAATTACAACGTTCTATGCGATTAGTATAGTAATGTGTTCTCAAAATTATAATTTTTTGTTGTGTAGCATTGAATCGTCTATTGTGTTGCATATTGTATTTATACTATTAAACAAAACGGATAGTCGAGAACGGTTTTATTTAAAAAAAATTATATCCACTTTTTAACGGACGGACAGACAGACAGACAGACAGACAGACAGACAGGGATGGGAGGATGTAAGTCCATTATTCAATCATTGCCATCCATCTTTGCATCTTTTGTCCAATGTGCAGTCGAAACTACCTACATACTGATCTTAACGTTTTTGATTGATTGATTGATTGACTGATTGATTGATCGATTGATTTATTGATTGATTGATTGATTCCTACATTTTTGTTTGTTCTTTTCAGACGAATTCGACGAAGTATGTAGAAGTAAGGACTACTTTCACGCTCTACTGATCAGTGACCCCGCCAATCAAAACGCACTCGAGGAGTGGAAGTGTAAAGGTCCTAACAAATTCAAGTGAGACCATAAAGCATGTATTTTTTAGCCTTTCTTTACTGTTAAAGTGCCTAACGTGCGGGTCGACACAGGCTGATCATTTAAAAGACAGAAAATGTGGTAAGGATTATGAGATAACGACTGTTGAAAAGGGGGTACCAAAAATATGTCAATTAATGATGTATACGTCTGTGACCAGATATCCTTGTGATATATACCGTTACTGAAAGGAGGGCACCTCTTACTGGCGTGCACTCGTTATTTTGAAAGCCAGAATAAGTATAACCTATAATATTTGATCAAATCCTTCAAACCATCACGTTAAATAAGAAAAAATTCCCACAATTCAGCACGTACTGTATTGTGCTCACTAGCCCGCGGCTCCTATAATGAAAAAGAAGTGTGTCGTGGGTAATATTTTCTGACGAGCTTTATAGAAGGTAGAGAGAGAGCGAGAGTAAGAGCAAAGATGAGGACGAGGGTGGGAGAGAGGGAGTGAGAGAGAGAGAGAGGGG